AAAAAAAAAAACATGAACATTGCGGCTTTAGAGGCCTCATCAGCACATACATAAAACAAACAAAGCCACACGGATTTACAAAATCACGCAACTGAGTATTCAGAAGCAGGTCCTTCTGTATCTATAAATAGAGAAGGCCGTGTCAAAAGCAACCACGCTGATGTCTTGCCAGTGAAATTAGAAGAAAATGGGGGGCCTATACAAATAAATTGCCGTGGAATGCCAGGGGTCGTAAATCGAGAATTTTTAGATGAAACTGTGTTGACAGTTCAGTCCCTTGTGCATAAGCATTCCCAACGTGGGAAAAAAAAGAAGCGATTTTCAAGAATCTTAAAATGTATAAGGAAACAAATAGACTATGCATTTCAGTTATTACTCAGAAGGACTGAAATAGCTACTTATATCAGGCAACGAGATAGATACCCTGATGGCATAGGTATATAGATTGGGCGAGATAAGGATATGGACCTGATCATGAAATGGAGATTCTCCGAGATGACAAAACATAAAAACCGACTCTTATCGGCATTACACATGATGATGATTAGTACTTCCCATGAAGGTACTTAGGTTCCAGTTTATGGTTGGAAAAAGAGGGGGGGGTGGTTAGAATAGCTCCAGTTTCCCTTTAAAAACATGTCGTAAACGGCGAATAATTAAGATTGTTTGTATCATATGTATTGAGTCAAAAGATGCAGATATTGTGACCTAGCTGTAGACTACAACACATCTTGCCAGCCACCCTTTTAAGGGTGAAAGCAGCAACAGAAGAAGAAGAAGAAGAAGAAGAAGAAGAAGAAGAAGAAGAAGAAGAAGAAGAAGAAGAAGAAGAAGAAGAAGAAGAAGAAGAAGAAAAGAAGAAGAAGAAGAAGAAGAAGAAGAAGAAGAAGAAGAAGAAGTTCTACTACTTATTATACAATGAAATATAGATCCACGCATTCTTACCTTTTATTTGTTGTATTTTGTTGCTTTTTTTCATGCCACATTTGTTCAACATTTAAGTTTATAAGCGTTTGTGTGAGTGGTATGTGTGGTGCGTGTGTGTGCGTGCGGGTGAGTGTATGTATGCACGCGGGCGTATGTGTATAAGTGTGAGTGTGCGTGTGAGTTTATGTATGTGTGTGTGTGTGCGCGCGCGTGTGTGCAAGGGGCGTGCGTATGTATGTGTGGGTGTGTATGTGTGGGTGTCTATGTGTGTATGTGTGTGTGTTGATTTGATTTGAACAACGGATCAACATCATGACACAATGGTAGTAACCTATAAGTGCTCTCTTTTACTTTTAACTCAAACCTGAGTACGAAGATTCTCAGCGCAGTGCACGAACTCCGTAGCACCGGCAAGGATCCTGAACCATTTTGGGTAGATTCTTGATTCTAAATTTTACCCGGGCAGCGCCGTTAGGCTACTCTTTTCGATCTTCAACTGCCAAGGAAATTTTTTACGTGCTCAGCAATACACACGGGCGTCCGATCTTACGTCTCAGAGATCAGGGACAATTACTACAATTCTATGTGAAAAAAAAATCCCAACCTTCAACAAAGCTTGAACCCTGGACACCCAGCACTCGTGGCGGACACCATGCCTTGAGACCGTTTGTGCGTGTGTGCTTGCTCGCTTGTGAGTGTGTGTATGTGTGTGTTTGTGCGCGCGAGCGGAAGTGTGTTTAAGTGTGGGTGTGAATGTGTGTATGAGTGAATATGTGTGTTTGTGCGTGCGTGCGTGTGTGTGTGTGAGAGAGCGCGCGCGTGTGTGTGTGAGAGAGAGAGCCGGTTTGCGTGTGTGTGTTAGTGTGTGTGTGAGTGTATGAGTGTGTGCGCGCGTGCAATCGTGTGATGGTATGTGTATGTGTGTGTGTGTGCGCGCGCGTGTGTATTTGTATATATATATATGTATATATATATATATATATATATATATATGTGTGTGTGTGTGTGTGTGTGTGTGTGTGTGTGTGTGTGTGTGTAAACGCATTGAATCAAACGGAAAAGTCCAGGAGAAATTAAGACACACAAAAGATTGATTCTGAATACGATTTCCTCTGAGAATGGAACAAAAGGGGAGATCACCATGGGAGGAAATGACGTCAGACCACTACAGGTCTGATTCATCTCGGTGTCAGAGACATTAGAATATTTCTGCTATGTAACTGACTGAATAAGTTCGCTTATTTGTTGTCTATTTTGTCTACAGGTTTTATCAAGACGTATATAACGGCTTCGCTTAATTCATGAATTGGTGAATAAGTCTCGAATTGACAGTTTTTCTGAGGTATTTCCAAAAGTTCCGTTATAATTAAATGTGTTATTGTTATTAATATTATTATAAATAAAACTAACAATGAAACAATTTTAATTTACAAAATCGAAGTAAATGTCATGTCAGTAAGTCAAATCAATGAATAAAATAAATGTATGGCTATTCTGAGTTATTCAGTTATATTTTAATCTCCGTCCCAGTATAGGAAAGCCCCCACCCCGGCTATTGTCTCGGGATAACCTATTGGTTGAACGGGGTTCTTGAAGCCTTGCATGGGGGAGTTCTCATCCGAATGTGGGGGAACTTTGTGTCACCAGGTGTTAATCAGTCGCTCGTTGTGTGGTCCTGGTGGTGTTTAACATCCATACTCACTCAGTTATTTTGAACTATAATTTCAAATCGTTTCTATAATTATAACATGTGGCTATCCTCCGAATAACGGCCACATATTAATATTATGGCGGCCACAGAACACCCTAACAGGGCCTCAGTCACATGTAAATTGCAGACTTCCGGCGACTCAAATTGTGCACTTCCGGGGACTACCGCCACCGTCGAGAGTATCTTCCACGCCAATACGCGCAGCGTGGATTAGGGCTAAACTAGATGGCTGGGACTCACGAGCAGCAACTTTTGCATCTCCTGCAGGTTTGCTCATAAATTCCAGCCATCTAGTGGTGCGCTTAGCGGCATGGAAGATACTCTCGGCGGCAAAGAATAAATGAGTGGCATTGTAGGTTCTACAGCTGATTGACATTAAAAGAAATAGTAGTAATTAAATATATTTGAGACAGGCTTGTTCAGCCCTTCTGAGTTGACGAAAATTGGGATATAATTTATATCTTCTTCTTCTTCGTGTTCACCAGCTGTAAACTCTGGCAGAAGGTTTTGGTTGCTCGTCCACTACTGAACTGCAGTCCTGCTCCAGAACCTGAGTGGTGCGTGTGCATCAGTTTTACAGATCACATTTTCTTGAATACGGACTGTTGGTTCCTTGCCTCTCCGGCAGATGCACTCCGACTTCAAAGGAAGCTCCCCAATTAGTCGACTCTTACGAAATGCTTTTGGAGAGGCAGTGGGTCTATTCTTGTTTTCCCCACAATGGGGCCCCGGAACCCACACGGGGAATAATTTATATGGTTTCTGTATTTTTGGATGCTGAATACTTATGTCTGTGCAGTACTTCTCTGTTTTGTAACAGATTATAACTTACAATCTATAATTTATAAGGTTAATTTGTACAACAGATCAGCATCATGGTACAAGGATAGTAACCCAGAAATTGGGATTAAAAAGCATACATTTATTGTTGAAAGAGCATGGTTCCTAGAAGGAGAAATACGCACACACACACACAAACAAGCTCAGATATGAATACATGACATTGAAAGTATATTTTGCATGAATGTGCATAAAGCAGGAAAACTGGCAAAAGACCCAGAGCTACATTCTGCAAAGTACATGCTACATGATGATGATGGTATACAAATTTGGATCTTCATGGATGCTCTTTGAGTTCCATACTCTACACATATTACACAAAAATTATTCACACACAAAGTACACATATTGTTATTGTTGATAAAGCTGCGGCTTGAAAGTCTGACTGTTCCTGTGTGTTTGGTTTTTTTCTTTCCCCTTTTTTGAGTTTCCTAGTCATAGTTTGTGTTAAATGAATGCATTAATACATGCTTGACTGTATCACTCCTATTTTGAGCACTTACTGTGCACTCCTTGTGTTATTTTTAGAAGGAAACTAAAAAACTTATGGAGATATTCATGTGCTTGGACACTGATTTTATTTACCAAACCCAAATATAATATGTTCTGGCCATTTTACCAGGGGAACACATCTTTATTCTGTCTTCTTCTTTTCTGTAAACTCCAGTGGAATGTTGAAATTGTTTGTCCACTTCCTGATTTAAATCTTGTTTCTGAGCTTGAGTTACACATGAACATCTATTTTGCCTATCTGGCAGTCATCTTTGATACACACATTCATTCATGTCTTGATGCCCAACACCCTCTCACTTGATCTTCCCTGCCTTCTAACTTTCTTATGGTTTTGACCTACTCCTGCTTTCCTATTCTCATGATGTGTCAAAACAAGGTGGACTTTCAGCTTCTGGTGCAGGCAGTCTGTTCTGTATGTGTGAGATAATCTCTTTCAAGACATCTTCATTAAAATGTGTGTATGTCCATGGTATTCTATGCAGCTTTCTAATAATTTCTTAGTATTCAGTTGTGCACCCATGATTTCCTTCCATACTTGAGGTTTGGTTCTTAAGAAGTCTTTCAGGCTTCTCTGTTTTTTCCTTGATCTTCATATTATGCATATTTTCATACAAACATAACATGCTTTATTGATAAAATACAATTACTGTGTAAAACATGAGTGTTAGAAAGGGCCAAATGTAAGACGAGACTGCATACCCAATTTGTGACGCTTTGAAAGTCAAGTTTGTTCATTCATTCATTATTTTTCTTATGTCTTCCATCCGCTGCTAGTGTGACTATTATTTGTTAACAAAAATGCTCAATAATTGTATTTATGACTATGCATCATAAGTTAAAAATAATTGTCAGAATTGCACAGTATTAAATTATTTAGTACAGATAAACTGTCAGTACATTACGACTATTTATACATATATTATACATGGAAAATCTCACTTTGAGACATGTTAATATTTTACGATTAGATATTCTGTACTTTCAGGTGTGATGGCAATGACTGCATAAGATGGAAGACAGATCCTATAGTAGTACACTCAGCAGACATAGTAAGTACATGTCAGCATTCAAGTAGTTGATAGAAAGATTAGGTAAAAGAAATCGAAAGGATTATCAGGAAAACAGATGCTGTTTTTTTTTAAAGTGAAAACTAATTTGATTTGTTTAGGTAACAGTTATTATTTTTGTAAACTCTGGCTTAAAGTTCAGGTTGTTCGTCCACTTCTAGACTTTGGTCCTGTTTCAGAACTTGAGTTTTGCATGCACATCCATTTAAAAGACCTGTTTGGGATGAAATGGCTTGTTGCTTTTGGTGGGGCTGGGGGGGGGGGGGGGGGGGGGGGAGATGAGGAGGAGGAATAAAACAATAATATAAATATATATACACACACATATATACATATCTTTCTCTGTGTGTGTGTGTGCATTTTTCATGTGTATCATCATTGTGTTAAAATAAAAGATATAGTGAATTAATGAAATTTTTGAAGACAGGCTTATTTTGTTGACAATAACTTGGTGTATGCCTGCATGCGTGTGTGTGATATTTTTATTATGCACATGCACATATAGAAAACTTGGTACGCTACATACACATTAAATATGCATTTGTATTAGCTTTATCTATTACAGGCCTTGCGTCAAGCAATTCTATATTGGATGGAGTCCCTTTCAGAATTGGACAAAGCTTCCGTCCACCACCAAAGGTTGGTTGAATTGTCCGTGCAAGATCATTCATTAATATTTTGATATCTAAAAAAAAAAGAAACCGTATATTATGTTTATGTCATCAATTTGGTTTAATTTTTTCCCATTTTGGTAATTTGTTTCTTCTAGCTTGACCTAGACAAACAGCGTTTATCGAGATGAGGATTATTTGCTCTGCCAGTGTTTATCCAATTTGGTTCACAAATTAGCTGTCTGTCCAAGACATTTGCACAAAGCACAAACTCCACAGCTCTAGTGATGACTATGGGATCTTAAAGAAATTAGCACTCAAGAACCGAAAGGCGCTGCCCATTAAACATGAATACTTTACTGTAATTTGCAATATTTGTTTTTAATTAAATCGTGTAAGAAGAAACATCATAAATGCTTACACAGAGTAATGTGAGCTTTGTAGAAAACTTACCTAGAGAAAATATGCTAGAGCAGCAGTTTTCCATTATGTGAATAAATAGTCTTTTGCATAGAAGATACAAGTTACACCAGTCTCTTGATGTGTATTAAAATGTGTTGCTGTTGTTGATTTAATAAATTAAGTAAAAGGCTTAGGTGTTGCGAGTCCAACTCGTAATAATGCGTATCGCAATCAAAACACACTGCTGGCTGCATGGATTTTTATCATGGTATGGGGCGTCGCAGGTGGACCCAGCCTAAAATGGGTACCAGAATGGATGTCCTGGGGAAGTGAAGACTGCTGGCGTAATGCTGACCAGATTACTCACCTAGTGCTGATGGTCTGTAAAAATGTGGGTGCTCTTCCCATATGCGCCTAAGGCGTAGAGAGGGATCTTTACTTTACTTACTGTATTTCCACCAAGTATAAGACAATCCCTTGTATTAGATGCACCTTGATTTTGGGAAAAAAATAATTTATTTTTCATGTTCACCTGCTGTAAACTCTGGCAGAAAGGTCTGGTTTCTCATCCACTTCTAGACTTCGATCTTGTTCCAGAATTTTAATGTTGCATGCACATTCAGTTGACAGATCTGACTTATTTGTGTGCAGTTTGTCTGTTCTTTGCCTCTCAGATGCACACTGACTTTGAATCTAGGCCCCAATTAGTCGACTTTTACGACATGCTTGTTTGGAGAGTCATTGAGTCTATTCTTGATTACCCCCAATGTGGCTCTAGAACCCACGTCAGGAAAAAATAATATGAATACAAAAAGTTATTGAACTCACATTTGTTTCATCATAGAATCCAGAAAAAGTCATCATCACTGTTAAAACGCTCATCTATATGATAGTTCTTAAGTTTGTCCATGTCAGTGTTTGTTGATGAACCACTTTCTTCATATATTGCAACAAGTGCGATAACAGTAAGTGCAAAGACAAGCGCAAAATCTATTACAGCGGGAGAGAACTTTTAGTTTTATCATTTGTTTTCCATTTTATGTTGCCCCTGAACTAGATAAGGCCCTATAAGGGAATTGTTTCTAACAAATCATTTGGTGAAAATCTACTACTATTTTATAAATGCACGCTGTTTTTAGAATGTATAATTATGGAAAAAAGTGCGTCTTATACTTGAGGAAATCAGTATTTGGCATTCGACCAGCATTGCGCCGGCCTCCTTTACTTCCCAGGGCATTTCCTCCAAGCCATGTTAGGTTGGGATGGCTGTAAGGTAAGTTTTGAACAACATCTGTTATAATTCAGATTTTAACCGTAGACTGGCAGGAGAGCATTTAGCTACTACGCTGCAGTGGCTTCCATAGCTGTTGATATGTCTTAGAGTAATCGTTTTGAAGACAATACTGTACATTATTCTTATTGAAAGAGCAGTTATTTTTTTTTTTTTTTTGTGTGTGGGCGGAAAAGGGGGGGGGGGGGGGTTCTGTTACATTTCTCTTTGTCAAATCTTGTATACTTATTCTCTGGTTTCATTTCAAACTGTAGATGTGAATTTAGTTGGCTATGTGGCTAAGTCGATGCGAACGCTTCGTAATGCCGGGTTCAATCCCAGCTGCGGGCCATGCGCCTTGCTTTGGTTTCGACAGTGGTATCAGAGGGCCGACCATCCAGAAAGCAATGGCAAACTACTGGACATAAATGTGCCTGGAGAAACCACACAACAGCCAGGGGCTGCTGGGTTTGGTTCTGCAACGTCCTGTAAAGGATACGCAACTAACCTAGATGTGAATTTTGTACGATTATGTTGACGTAGTAATGTACAATTGTTTGAACCTGTGTCTAAATTACCACCAAATAGTGATGTGCACTGAGAGGCTTGTCACTCAGACATAATGAAAGCAGAGCTGGAGGTCAGCCACACAAGCGATGGAGCATCCCAGTGTGTAAATACCAGCATCTGTATAGCACATACCAAGGCTCGCATCCAATGCTTTTTAAAACCTGATGCTGAAAGGTAGAACATAACGAGAGAAGAAGAAGAAGATGGTGTAAAAAATGAAATTGATAACATGTACAATGTGTGGGATTTTTGTTTTCCTTTTGCAGGTACATCCACCAGAACTCTCTAGGCCATCTATGTCAAGGAACCTTAATGTAGAGGTAGAAAGAATTTATATTGTTTTAAACTGTGATTCATAACCAGGAGAGGTTTTTATACCATTGGTCTTTAGTTTTGGGGCCTAATTAAAATAACATAAATTAATTAATGTGAACAAAACTAGAAAATTTTGTGTGTATATTTACACACAAACGCACGCACGCGTGCGTCATACACATACATTAGTGATCATTTACTTATCGTCATCAATTTCCACCTTTGCCGTTAAACTTTTGTGGCATAATTTTGCGATCCATTGCTGATTGAGTTGTAGGGATTTAACCAGGACCCCTGCATTGGTAAGCAAGAACACTTTATTACTATCTCAGCAGAGCAGTCTACAAGTGTAACATTCAAGTAAGTGAAATATATGGTCAGAGTAGTTAAAACTGCAAAACAATCTGGTATACTTACTGCAGCACTTGTACATACAGATAATGTAATAATAACGCCAGATGCCTGGTCAAATGAGGAAAGTACTCAGCTTAACTAATTCTGTATGTACATGTGCTGCAGTAAGTATACCATATTGTTTTGCAGTTTTAAGTACTTTGACCATATATTTCACTTATTTGAATGTTACACTTGTAGACTGTTCTGCTGACATTATAATTAAGTGTTCTTTCTTACCAATACAGTGGTCCGGATTAAATCCCCAATAAGGTCAGGTGTGACTGAGGTTGACTCAGCCTCATGAAATGGGTTCCAGGTAATTTTCATAATTGTATGGAAATTGTCTTGTAAGGGAAGACAACAAGGAATTGAGCTAGTCAACCCATGGTATGACATCTGATGTATTGCCATTAGTGGTAACAAAAATATCTGTTCCACTTTTGTTTGTTTGTTTTAAGTCCACTCCTGTATTGAGTATGGACATATTGCATGCAATACAATTAACAGTTCTCTGAAGATTATCTTCTTAAGTGGTCTGCGGGGTGAAGCAGTTAATTTGTTTTACCTTTGCACAAGGTCGTGGATTCAGTTTCAGACTTCTGTTCAGTTTGCAAGATTCATACTTTGTGTTTGCAAGATTCATACTTTGTGTGCCTCTGTTAGCATGCAGACAACCACTCTGCAGAAAGAGACTGAACCATATGGGATAAAACAGGGGAAATAAAGTCAATCTCGAGCTTTTAAAGGATTTTTTTTTTTTTTAAAGTAAATTGAGCATGTTTATACAAAAGAGCTTCAGATTTCATTTGAATTAATAACAGAAACTGTTGAAGTGTGGAAATACTTTTGAGATTTTGTCTTCAACTTTATGTACATTTGTTTTTTCCAGTATACATTTGAAACTGAGGAGGCTGTCTTGGCATGGGCACAGGCAAGGGAGGTGGCTTTAGAGCAGGCTAAAAAATTGGAGGAGCAGAGGAAACAAGCACTGGCCGCTGCAGAAGAGCAAGTAGATGATAAAACAGCCAGCAAATCAGATACTACTGTAGACTGTAATACTGATGAGAATGGTTGCAATGTCTATGATGTTCCAAAAAGTACAATTGCTTCAATGCAGAATCATGTCAGTGATCACAATAAGCCTCTTCTGCCCCCAAAACCAGCTGTGAGAAAGCCTGTATCAGAGCCTGGTAGTATTTTAAAGCCAACACCAATACATTCATCTGCTAATTCTGTTTTTAGAAACAAAGGAACAGCCAGTACTGACAACAAGTTGGCTGATGCTGCTTCAGCTTTTGATGTGTCCATGTTTGAATCTGAGGCAGACCCATTTGATAATTTGGAGCTGCAGACAATAAATGACATGGAAGAGCTCAAGATACTACTCGATTCTTCAACTAAGTCCTCGTCGGATACAGTGTCTACACCTGCTCAGGCAGGTCACATGCAGCCTTCTTTAGAAATGGAATATAGCTCTGATAATCTTGGAAGTTCTGTCTCCGAGGCGGTGTATGATGTAGCTAGTGTTGCCAGGGTAAATAAATGGGAAACTTTTTCTGATGAATCACAGGAACAAGATGCTGGCAGTGTAGCTGAACCATCAGAACCGAGAGGGGAAACTTCCTCACCATCTGTTGATTGTTCCAGTGCCGACAGAACTTCTAGGCAAGTCATAGAAGATGGAGAATATGTGGAGATTACTAGTAACTACAAAAAACAAACTATACGTTTTCAGAATCATTCAGTCAGTGAAGTTACTAAGAGTTCTCAATCAGGTAATTTTACAGGGGAAAATGGTGTAACTACTGCATTAGGAGGAAAGCTTCCTGCTAGTCTTGCCAACAGCAAATTATACAAGCCAGTTCTGCCACCTTTTGTCAGACAGGGGAACACAGTCACTGACTGTAATAATGTGAGTACAAATCCATTCATTCAGACTTCAGCTCAAGGAACAAATCCATTTCTGCCACAGACTGCACAAGATGCCAAGTACACATTTCTTCAGAATACAGCTGAAGATGGTGACACTTTCACTGAAGCTTCGGAACAAGATTATGCTAACGGTGAAATGTTAGACAGCCAAGCTGAAGCAGCACAGAGTGTTTCTGCATCAAAACCTTCACTTCTCCCACCACCACCTCCTTCTAACAGACCAACCAGAAATAGACATCTAGTGCCCAACCATCGCATGTGGTCCTCTGTTGGGCCATCCTTGGCAGCATCATTAGATGAATCAGTGTCTTCAAGTGATCCTATTCCCTCTAACAGTTACAGTCGTCACAGCGTGTCCAGCTCAGACCTGCATTCAAGCAACAGTTGCTCAGATCTTGGTGAGCTGAACCAGCACTCACCAGTGCTCCAGAAACAGATGTCATCACAACCGTCTTTACAGGTAATCTCTTTCTCTTCATGGTTATCTGTTATGAGAGTGTTTCTTTGTGTATATTAACCCTTTGGCCATAGAACCCATTGGAGAAAAACTTCCAGAACTTGGGAATTTTGTGTGTGGTTTAAACTTAAAAAACTCCTAACAAAACATAACAAATATTATTTATAAAAATGTATTTAAAAAACTACATGAAAGGAAATAATCAGTAAACATGAAATGAGCAGAGAATTAAATGACTTTAATCCCTTGGTGGGATTTTTAAAAAAAATAATTTAAAAATTCATGCAGAGACTTATCCTAAATGCTAAAGGAGAAATACGATGTCATCATTGCCAACAAAAAGACACCCCCCCCCCCCCCCCCCCCCCCCACGATAAATTAGACTGATATTTCAGTGGTGATAAATTATTATTCTTTCACTCACTTGAAATAGATTATCTATATCTGCAATGTTGTCTCTAATATGAACTTCACTGTCTTTTATAATTCACTCAGCGACCCGTAAAGTTTGGCTTGCACCGATGTTTCTCTTGGCCAAAAGTTTTGCCTTGATATGTTGTATTTGGGACAGTCTTGGAGGATGTGATCTGTTGTCTTAGGTGCCAGTTCACATGTGCACATATCTGATTAATTAATCAGACACTTTACTGGTTTGAATTATTTAATAATTTCTTTAGTTCATTAACAAATTTATTAGGCAGTTGGAAACTCATTTTAATTAATTCATTTGCCGCAGTCATGGAACAGACATCGTCCTTTGCCACCCATCCCCAGCCCCAACATCACTGCCTCGAATCCAAATCTGGAGAGCTACAAAGTTGTTCATCTACCTCCTAGTCAGTCAGTAGGCCTCACAGATCCCTACTACAACCTGTCTGCAGAAGCCCAGGCATTCACAAACAGCCTCACATCTATGGGCTTTCTTAGGGCCAGAGTTGCACGAGCGGTAGCCAAGTTTGGTCAGGATGAGAAAGAGGTATTTATGTCTTCGAAAACAACATTTATTCATGAATGCACACCAACCTCTTCTGCTCATTCAGTCATAACAGGGCAATTGGCACATTGTGGTTCACTAGATAGATTGTGATATTTGCTCCTTTCGGGCTGGCACATCCAAATAGTCGCCTTCATTGACATGATTACTAAAGGGCAGTGGGTCTGCCTGTTGCCCCCACCCCCCAATGAGGCCCTGGAACATGCATGGGCAGAATACACATGAACAGTTTCTAAGCTCTACAGACCAGACCGTTTTTAATCTAGAGGATTCAATAAGGGTTGTGCCAGGCTTTAGAAGAACACCAGTCTCTTTAGTTTTCTGTTTGCAAGAACATTTCTTGTAGTTTTAGAAAGCTAAATAGGAATACAAGTACAGTGCAGACCTGGTATGGAGAACTCACCAGGGACCCAAGAAATGGTTCTTCTTATCGGAAATTCCTCTTATCTAAATAAGAATTATAGCAAGAACAATTGCTGGGGATAAACAAATTGTTCTCCACTGAAAATTTGGCACATCCGAGATCGCCTTAAGCAGTCACACTTTATCAGCTAAAAAGGTGTAAAATATAATGCATGTAAAGCAGGTGGAAAGAATTACATTACAAATGATGGTTAAAATATTATATTTTCAAATAATAACTTATATAATGAGTCATCATTAATAGTTTATTATATTTTTCATTTACAGTGTTTACTGTAAAGTAAAGGACCCTTTTCCACACCTTTAGGCATATAGGGCTAGGCCTATATTTTATAGACCAACAGCACAAGATGGGTGATGTTGGACTGCACCCGATATCCACTTAAGGTTGGGTCGATCTGAAAGCCAAGGTCGTTTTTGAAAAAAGTCTATCTCTGCCAGAGAGCGAACCCACGACCTTCTGATCCGCAGGCGAGTGTCTAGCCAGGGTGACTCATACAGTGTTTACTTTTTTAAGATATTTTTAGTTTTGTGGATATCATGATTAAAATAATTGTGCACTAGATGTGCTACATCCCATAATTTCCATTTGTGCAGGTGTTGGACCATCTTATTGCTGTAGACATGTTGGTGGAGAAAAAATATGCTCCAGTGATAGTTGAGTCAGCACTCTGTACATTTAAAAATGATGTGGAGAAGGTAAGATTGTTTTTGGTCATTTATTTTACTTGTAGATAATAATTGATTAGATTGTTGTTGTTGCTTGTAAATAATTTCTTGATTCTTTGCCCAGAAAGAACAAATCCAAATATTAGCATGCAAAAAAGTGATAACTTAAACAGTAGTAACCAGAAACTGATGTCATCAGATCTGATCCTGCTAGTGAAGCACATGTTGTGGACAGTTTCAGACATTAGGAGACAATGTCTGTTGGTGGATGTTTATTTTAAACTATAAGGTGACGACCATTCTTTTTCTCTGGTCGGAAAGAGTTTTGATCAGCCAGTTTCAATAGATATATTTAGGGAATATATAGAAGTGCTTCAATGGGTGAGTGCGTCTGGCGTGGCGAGATATTATCTTTGATTGTCCCAGAAAAATATCTTGTTACCTGGAAATCTTGGTGTTATGTTTATAATGGAGTTTTTTTGTATGGCCCATGACCAGGTTGGTAATTATAAATTAGGCTCCTCAAACTAACAAAACAACAAAAATTGCTTTGGTTAGTTCCCTTAGACACCAAAAAACACTTTCACAGGTATATTCTATAGATTTTTCTTTCTGGAACAAAATATACAACATTAGCAGTGATTGGTTTGATACTTTTTTTTTAAAGAAATAATTAGTCACATGAATTCTAGCATCAGCATCTGATTCATAGGACAGTCAGACAATATTGCCAAGTCCCAGTTGTCTTTGGGGTCTTTCTGGTAACACATGACCATTTGAAAGTAGTTTTTCAAATTTGAGAATGTTGTTCAGTTCAGTGACAATAAAGGCATGGGTTTGCAACTCATCTTCAGGATTCATGATAAATTTGAAGCCCTGGATACCTAGTGGGATTACATAAGGGCAGATCCAGTAGCCCTTGCACAGCAAGCCCTCTTTCCTAAATATGGTGTTAAGTTGCGAGTTCACCACTATGTGTATGTGCTACATAGGTCAACGTGCAAGCATATGGTGTATTTTTCTTTTGCTTTAGTGTGTATACACTTTGTGGCAAACAGTGTGTGTTTTTGTGTGCATGCATGTATGTTGCGTGCTGTGCTGTTCTCTTTGTGTTGTGTGTGTGTGCATGCATTCACACATATTGTGCGTGTGTATATATATATATATATATATATATATATATATATATATATATATATATATACATATTAGGGCTGTACCAAATATTCGCTTCGTATTTGCTTCGGGGCCAAATAGTGGACCTAATAACTATTCGGCCGAATACTTGTGGTCGGGCCGAATACGATTAGTGGTTACCTTACACCCGTTTCTGCATACACTGCGATGGACTGAAATAACTCTCTCCTTAACACAATAGTTGCTGTTGCCTAAGTCTGTCGTAGTGGGCAAAACTGCGACCCAGTTGCATGGTACAGCAGCTGGCAAGGTCTTTGCCTGCTGACTCGACTAAGGCATTACAACAGAGGTTCTCAAACTGGATGCGTATGCCAGGGATGTCGCGGCAAATATCAAGAAAAGTCGGCTATAAATCGTGACATTATTAAGGAAGGCATGAAGATTCATAAAAGTAAAATTTAAATTGTCTTTCCTCTCCACTGTCGAAAAGAGTTTTTTCCTTCTTTCACACTCAAAATGTATCATACTGCATAAAATGCCTACTGCAGCGTGCTAAAAATTGTCTTTGTATTTATCCCGAGGTGCAACCGATCCTCCATCTGTATTCGTGAAGATGCAGTGGATAAGTAAGGTTGTGATTACATTTTGGCTGAAATTTTAAAGTGGAAAATGTGATCTGTACAATAGTAACTGTTAGCCTTGTCAAGTAAACACTTATATTTAAAGGCAGTGCGTTCTTTTTTGTTGATTATGTGTATGTGAGAGAGAGAGAGAGAGAGAGATCATGCATTTTTTCGTTCTTTCAGGTTGTCTTTGCCCAAATCAGATTTGAAGATATTGCTAACGAGAATATGAAGTTGCGTTTAAATTACATAGAACCAACGGGCGAGCGAACAATGATTTAAATGCGAATTTGGCACATGGGTAACATCAGATGGAAGATGCTTTACTGAAATAAGAAACAAAATAGGACAGGCAAAAACTGCATTTTATAAAATGAAGAACATCTTATGCAATATATCTTTGTCATTGAAGGTTAGAAAAAGAATTCTTGCTTACTAAATACATCCAGTTTTAACAAATGGCTGATTGCCTGGACAATCGGTAGGCAGGCCAAACAATTTCTTGAGGGCTCACAGATGTGGTTTTACAGAACAATGCTCAAAATACCTTCGACAGCCACACACACACAAAAAACCAAGAAGTTTTGAAAGAGGCGGGAGCCCGAAGACAACTAATCACAGACAGACATCAGAAGGAGACAGTCATCATTTTTGGGCCATGTTATGAGAAGAGGGAAAATGAAACATGTGGTGACCACTGGAAAGATCTGTGGAAGGAGGGAGGGATAGAGGAAGACAATGAGAGAAGATTCTTGACAGTCTAGTTGCATGGCATGGAGGTGTGTCAGCACATGAACTGTAGAAGATCGCATATTGTGGCGAGGCATAATCGCCTACGCCATTGGCAAGGCACCTGATGATGATGATACACTATTCGTATTCGGCCTAATAGTTGGTCCCGCTATTCGTATTTGGCCGAATAGTGAAAATCACTCTTTGGTACAGCCCTAATATATATATATATATATATATATATATATATATATATATATATATATATATATATATATATATATATATATATATATATATATATATATATATTTATACACACACACAGACATATACATACATCATTTAATTATAATTATTCAATAAGTGTTTTTTCTTGATATTTTTTATTCAGGCAGAGAAGTTCCTGCAGATGTTGACACAATTTGAAGAACTAGGCTTCACGAGAGAAAAAATTCAGGAAGCTTTGATTACAACAAATATGGACCATGACAAAGTGCTTGACATTCTAACTACTTAGTTCCTGGAAATGAACTTTCATTCTGTTCCTGTCTCTAGGCAAGAGTCAATTTGGGGAATTTTCTAGAACATAAGGTGCTTGTCTGTATAAGCCTTTCTGTTTTCACAGATATGTAGTCTGGAAAATATACTGTCATATTTTTTGCATGCATTGTATACTCAACTGTGTTGATTTTTATTGTGTTGTGTCTTTCTGTTCACTAACTGTCCATTTACTGCCACACTGAATACCTCAAGGCATCTTTGTGGAATATGTAGTGGTCACAATATGAATATTATTTGGACACAGAGGTCCACTAGGAAAACTGTCTAGCATGCTGAGGTAGTAAAGTACTCATGTTTAGTAGGTCATCAAAATCCCAGGATTGCAGACTTAACTCCTGATAACCACCCCTAAAGCCACAGCCCATGATAAGGGCCTCAGTATACAGAAGTTAAGCAATTAAAAGCAGGATTCAAGAATTCCTTGCGTGAGCCCAGTAACAAAGTGTCACTTATCGGCATTACATTTATGGAAGCGTCCTTTGATGGTGGGGGATGCTGAGGCTGCTCTGGGCTGGTATGTAAATTGAGAAGCAGAGATCATGGCACAAAAATGAGACTGTGCAATGTCCCATGAAACTAACCCAGGAAGGCTAACCTAACCCTTCGGAGACAGAGCCTTTTTGGAATTTTGGTGCCAAGAAGACGAAACCTTCAGAAAGGGGTTTCTCATAGTTTATACACACACAATTTAGAAAAATTAAGCGTTTAATTAACACATACAAAACTATATATGTATTCGTGTAGGAAATTAAATGAACTAACAGAATATTTATGAATCAAACTGAAGTTTCAACATTTATTCAAATTGACTATTCTGATCTGCATAATTTATGCAAGCAATTTTTTTTATAAAACTTGGAAACAAACGCAATGGATAAAACTTGAATAAGTCCTAAAACCTGTATTTTGGGAGGTAAGGCCCTTGGAGGCCCTTCAGAAACGTCTGGCACATGGTTCTACTAATTTTCTTGCCTCCAGCTGTTTCAGCTGCTATTACACAACAGTCCTTTTCACCATTTTTTGGGCGCAGGTAACACCAGAAAAAAATCGATGTAAAATTACAGAACTCATCAGACTTTCTTGAAAGCTGTCAATGAACAGCCCACATGTGCAAGAAATGCAAGAAGCAGTCTCATTAGCTGGTGTAAAAACCTGCCAGCCAATATCAAGGGTTCTGTTATATAAGGCCGACCGATCGGCCCAGTTGTCTTTTTGGCTACTTTGTGTTGGCCCGATATTTCAGCCACGTCGTCTCCAAAAATGCTTCCAGAAGAATGTTTTGGCTGAAGGGCACTAATACTGCAGCCATCGTGTGAACATATGATCAGGCACAGTGCAAGTACTTCACTGAAGAAGACAGATTGTCTTTCTGTTCTCTTGGTTGATACTGAAAGGGGCAGACTATGTTCTTTTGTTGCTTTTATTACTATTTTTGTTTATGTTTCAGTTATGTATTGTCATTATTTTCCAACTGTTGCTTTCTGAAGACGCATATTTGTCTTAGAGAACAAATTGCTTCCATGAAGATGTCCCTGTGAACATATAAGAATAAAATTGCTGATGTAAGATATGTTTGTTTACAGGTCTTGTGTATGACAGGGCTAGAATGCAATGTTGAAAGGAATCATCTGTCATTGTAAATATGGTTTAGTTTTTGTGAATTTTCATCATTATTTTTCTTTATTTGCCAGTAGGCAGAGTTATTATATCCCTTAACATTGTTTTCCAAATGCCTTGTTTCGGCCATTCACTGTTTTGTCACCTGGCGTGCCATTATCTTGTTGCCCCTCAGAGTACTCCTTTTGCTACATTTGTTGCAACATTCCTGTACTTATAACATTTTTTTTTAAATATTTATATGTGCAACTTGGGCATTATGTATATGATACCAACTGTCACCATTGCTCAAATTTCAACACATTAGTACAAAGTCAACACCAAGGGGTCAGTCAGTTCTACCAACATTCTGCTACCATTAGCAACTATGGGAGCTGTGGTAACACAGTGACTTGTTGCCTGTTAGCCTGAAGGTTTTGAGTTCCAATCCACATTAAGGTGGATTATTATAATTCATCTCGTCTCCCAGATGAGCCTTGCCAAAAATGGGTACCAGGCAATATCCTGAGAAGTAAAGGCAGTTGACATGTTGTTGATCATAAGTGCTGATTGATCTTAAATTTTTAGCTCACAGACCTGATTGCTAATGTAGTTCACCATGTGTGAGAGGAAGTGCTTGAAAAAAAAACTAAAAATTACTAGACAAGTCAGTTATAAATGATTACATTATGAGTAACATGGAAGTCACTTCCTGCTTTAAATCAATACAGAGACAACAGATCAAGTGCTTTAGAAATCTTGTGAAACTAAAGCCCAGCCAGCCATCATTGCATGTCTAAAGCTGAAGCAATTGTAGCTATAGAACTAGAGAAAGATCAATAATCTACTGGATTATCCGTCTATCCACATGTGCACATGCACATAGAACAAAGTGTAGTTTCTTCTTTCCAAGCCCTTAGGGTTCATTGCTGCAGATATCATCTGCCTGCATTTATCTTTGTGATTGGACCTCTCTTTACAATAGGTGACAGGTCTTTTTAGTTTGTAGGTCTGCCTGGATATTATCTCTCCATCATCTTGGTCTCCCTCGTGGTCTATGACTATTCAGCTCCCTTGTGTACACAGTTTTTACCTCTCTTCTGACATTCTCTCGGTATGCCCCCAGCCATTTCATGGGGGGGGGGGGGGGGGGATAATAGGCCCACTGCCTCTTAACAAGCATGTTATAAAAGTATGTTGAAACCAAAATGTGCATTTATTGCAGCAAAGATGTAAACCGCAACACAATATGCCAGACGTCCTTTAAGGGTGAATGAAGAAAAGAAGGTTCAAAATTTAAACCATACGTAGACAGACATCAACATCACACACCCACCCGGGACACTCCCATAAGTGTTCTGCCTCCATCCTCAGCAGCAAGCGAAGAGTTCCAATTACGATGAAACCAGTAGCTATCTGATTGTATATCCGTCTCATCTCAAATAGAGTGTGCGGGTAAGAAGTGGTGAATAATTGTATGAGCAGTTGCAGTGGCAGATGTGTAATCATTGTGTGTTTAGTTTGTGGAAGGTATTTTTTTTATATATGTGTTCCAGTTGCATCAGTTTATTTGATGCTTTTGATTTTACTTTTGATTTAACATGAAAAAGGAAAGACAGCTGTCTTTGAGGATTTGCTTTAGAATATTCTGTACTTAATTACTTATTGAATTTTAAAAACTAATTGTGTATGTTTTCCACTCTCACTCTTACCATTCTTTTCTTTTTTGCATGTTCTCCTTCCTCTGTCTCTCTTTCTCTTATTCTGTTTTACTTGACTACCACCAGCCCTTTGTCTCTCTCACTTTTAGTTTACAGCTGTATGGCTTTAAACAAAAAAAATTAGTTTTAAACTGATGATCTTTCAGTGATCTCATGGTGAAATGCCTGCAGTAGATGGTTTAATGTTTGTATTATTTATTTGTAATACTTATTTGAATGAGGCTTTCTATTCAGTATGAACTTGTCGGAAATCCAATTTAGTCAGCCTTCATTATGAAGAGGGTACCTTATTTATGTGAATAAACATTTTACTGGTTTTTTTTTTCATTCATGCTTTTGTTTCTGTATATTTCATTCTTTTTGAATTTAAAGTTTACTGTTTCTTTGAAGTCATAGATTTTATGTTTACTGTAATTATTTTTTAATGTATAAATGTTTCACCTAAACATTTTACCCGGAAATTTTCTGAGTAGCAAGGTGACTATCATAACACTGAGTAATGATTGGTGTAACACAATATAATAACAGTTAGCAGAGGACCCTTTTCCACACCTTCAGGTATATTGGGCATATAGTGCCAGGCCTATATTTCATAGACCGGTCAGTGTTAGGTGGGTGATGTGGTCATCATCATCATCACACTTTCCACCTTTACTTCTCAGGAATTTACCTGGTACCCATTTAAGGCTGGGTTGACATGGGAGCCAAGGTCATTTTTGGAGAGAGAAAAAGTCAGGCACTTTTCGGATTTGACCACCACCTTCAGATCCACAGGTAAGCATCTAACTTCTTCCCCATGGCGGTTGCCCATCAGAATATGGTGCTAGTAAGCATCAAGACATAGAAATAAGTTCCTCTCTTACATATGTTTCATTCAGCTATTTCGGAGTATAATTTCATTTGTCAAAATTGCATCAAACATGATAACGAACAAAGTCTCCTTTTAACTGAAAATATGAATGGCTTCGCCTTCTGAATGGATCATTGTAAATACTGGACAATGAATTATGAAGTTCTGGAGGCAGTGGAGATCTGGTTTTTGAAAAGAGTGTGAAGAAAATCTTAGATACAGAAGAATACAAATGCTGATGTCTCAAGCTGCAAGTTTTATTAGATCCCTTATGAAGACAACAGAAATGTATGGGGTTTATCAATAGAAGTTATGTAGTTATTTAATCGACAGACCATCCTTATTGCACATCAGACCATTCAGTCCATAAGTGTTCGGATCCCCTCCTTAGTAAACCCCACAGTGTGTAATAGCTGCCAACACCAGTTTGTGTTGGTTTATTCTTCTTTGGTTTCATGCAGTCTTCTTGTCTGGCCAGTCTTTTGTAATTTGCTTTTCTTGCAGTCTGATAATGGTTGCAGATTCACAGTCATCAGCTGGTTATTGAAAACCTTGTACTTCTTAGTTGAGCATTCAGCATATCAGACTGGTCCATGGCTCACCACCCCCTCCACCATAGCCATACCTGCAAACCTATCAGCTCGCTTATTTCCTTGTACACTTGCAAGCTCTGGCACAAAAAGGAAACTGATCCTTGTCAGCTGCAACCAACTCAAGAGACACAAATCATTATCCTTACACCTATTCCATCTCTGTCTTCCTGAGCTTACTCAAGAGAAGAGATGGAGT